TCTAATCACAGAAAAAAACTATTAATTGAACCAGAGCCTAAGGACACAGTCAATTTTAACCAAACTGATAAAATTGAGTTAGTGATGGACTGATGACAGATTCTATCAGCTTCCAATCAGCACACGAAGCGTTGCTCCTGAGACCTCTCACTTGCAGTTCGCTGCTCATCTTACTCTTCTTCTAAAGGTTCAAGGATCTTTAGGAGCCAAGTGAAAAGGCAGACTTGGAATTGAAGAGCACTGAGCTAAAGTGCCAGGGGTTCTGTGAAGACAGTAATCTACCAACCCCCTAACCCATGCAACTGACACGCCTACTTGATTAACACGCCCACCCAACAGACACGCCCATCATAGTGACACGCCCACCCATCTGGTACGCCCATACAGATCATACCACCCACCACATTGACACGCCCACCCCACTGACACCACCCACCCCACTGACACGCCCACCCCACTGACACCACCCACCACACTGACACGGCCACCCCACTGACACGCCCACCCCACTGACACGCCCACCCCACTGACACCACCCACCACACTGACACGCCCACCCCACTGACACGCCTGTACAGATGACACCTCCCACTGCATTGACACATCCAACCCACTACACCCATACCGCTGACACCCCTGACATGTCAGTTCTACACAGACACATGAGAAATCTGGAAGTTTGCAGCATAACCATTTTCTCCACAAAATACAACTGGTAACAGAGCACCTCAGCAGACATACTGAACAGAATATTGCACGTGATAAGAATTAACAGACAGTATGCATCTGTGATCACTTCAAAACCACTCAAGTGCCATAATCGGGGATCTAGTGAGCTGCCTGTCGCAGTAACGAGTGACCCACAGCTCTCCAAGGAGCCCCTGCTATAGAAATTATTCTGCCAGACACTCCCCAAGGTGATCAGAGTCACACCCCCCATGCCTGCGATATCACTCTCCACACCACGTCCCTACACACACGGCCTGATCACACCCGTGACACTCAAACGGGCTGGACCTGCAGGCTGAAAGGGTGACGATGATGCGATCCCAATGGAAAGCTGCCCATGTTATTTGTATTATGCAACAGGGAGGAGACACAGGCCCGGTGCAACCTGCATGTCACACAGCTGAAAGAGATTTTCTTCTAAATTTGGAAAAATATCTCTGAAAAAACATCTTCGGCTTCCTTATGGTTTTGTGCTGCAGTGCAGGCAGCTGGACTCCGATGCCTCACTGGCATTAGTCTCTGTTGAGAAGAGCAGCCCGGTGAGGGGGCCGGAGACAGACAGCCGCCTCACCACGCACACAGGGTCACATGGAGTGTCACCGGGCAGCCAGCAGGTGAGCCGCCTCAAACCTTCTAGCAGTGGACTGAGGTGAAGTGTAACAGCTAACAAGTGCACAGCCCGGCACCAAGGACCCGGGTCCGGTTCAGGCCCAGGCAGGCTGGCCCGGGGCCCGGAGGGGCTGCACCGCTGCTGTTGGCCGCGGAGAAGCTCTTATCACCGCTGCCACTGTCTGCAGCATCAGCTCACCTACCTGCACGCTAAATGGCTTTCGTGTTCATTACCTGGGCATAAGGGGCCCAACGCATCACCAAGGCAACGACACCATCTTCATTAGCCCTGCGCCTGAAGGGATCAATTTTTCACACTCGGCCTTCTCAGCTTTGAGGCCTGTTTTAAATACCTGTGTGGATGTTTCTTGCTCATTTTAATTCCATGGATGAAAACCCTGGAGGTGACAAAGTCTTGTTTTGGAGTTCTGTGATATAAATGGGCATAAATCTATTAGTACTTTATATTACAGTACGATATGCTATTATTAGCTTGCATTGACAGTTCTGTTCTGTAATAAATGTGCCCGATTCAAGACAGCCACAAGAGAGACAGCATTTGCGAGTCTTCCGACGGGGTGAATTCGCCTCACTGAGGAAACTCATCCCCCTGAAAGAGGCAGGGTGGGACTGTTATCCACAGCAAACTTTAAAAGCCATGATTGTCGCTATGTCTTAGTCACAGGCCAGGAAAGCCTTGAGTAACTTAACCACATCACTTAAAAGCAAAAAACAAAGCAGGCACGCAGATAATGTGAGGGTATACAGACAGAAAGCAAATTCTGAAATATTTCAGCGATAAAATTGTGGCAGAATTAAAGAAAGAAAACAGCGGTTCTGAAAGGCTGCAGAGGAGCTGCAGTGCTGTTCATGTCTGTGTAAAGGCAGGAGTTGTCCAAAGCAGAGCTGCAGCTCTGTGGGGCTCTGAGGTTTATTTTTCGGGGGAGCAGGTGTGGAAATGTTCCATTTTCACTGACCACAGAACAGGCCTTAACCACAAGCTAACCAGGAAAACTCAGGCAGTGAGCAGAGCATTGTGCTGACTGCTCCCCACACCTCAACTTTCCAAACCCTGAGGAACTCAGGCACAGCCCCAGCATCCGACTAACATCACGGCTCTGGAATCAGGACCTTGCTGTTCCTCGGACACCCCTTTATCCAAGAGCCCCTTTTCCTGCTCACTGCAGTGAGAAGGCTTTGAGGTTGTGCTGTGAGGAGCTCATCAGTCTCGTCCGAAATTCCTCAATCTCCTTCTGCACTATAGCATCTCCCAGGTAGGAGAGCAGAAGAATTCAGGCACCCCCAAGCAACCCCCTGCACTCCCTCAGACCCAGCAGAGACTCAGGGCTATAGCACAGTTTCCTGGCATCCTATGGCGTCCTGCCTTTCAACCAGGCGTGTGCAGTGAAGGACGTGAGGGAGTGTGGTCCCCCCAGGATCACACGACGACAGTGTTCATGTTACCCGCCCAGTCGGTTCTGGCCCGGTATCAGAAAAGCCCAAGATTCACCAGCACCTCCCCCTGCACTGGTCTGTCCAAAGGTGGTGGAAGTACAGTTCCCCCTCAGTGGATGGGTCCACTGACCATAGCCCAACTGACTGTCAGGACTCGCTCAGTTCCTGACTCTGACCAGATTCTTTGATGTTAACACACCCTTATCCCCAGCAATACAGAAACTGCTTCAACACCCCTTATCCCTTTCAGTTGGGTTTTTTTTTTGCTCCCACACAAAAACAATCACAATCCATTGATTTTAGCCAAACAGATGTCGGGGGGAGATCAATTCTCTAGAATTTGGACAACGACGGTTTAATGCCGCTTTCTATGCAAATGTTGTCTTTAACTGTCGCTCCCATTCATCTACAAACACAAGGCAGGAGTTTTAAAAGCAGATCTGCCGAGGCTGGTCGTGAATTAAATTTAATTGTCACAAGTTGTCATTTCATAAATGACGGGCGAACAGGTTTGTTTTTGTTACATACAGTTAACAGTGTTGGTACGTTATTGCACTGGTAATATCAAGACCTCGCCTGAAAGCCTACCTTTCCCTGTCTTAATAAAGCCTGGAGACTGCTTGAGCACTTTCACTACAAACCAACACTGCCTGCTATGGGATCTTGTTTTTTATTTCGCTTTAACAATCCCGATCCACACTCCACTGCCGTTCTCCGGCGAAGCAGAGAATACTCTACGGACTTTTCCTCTTTCCCTCTCAACCTCGGGCTCTCTGAACACGCCCGAACGCCTCCGAATGCAGCAGAAATCCGCTCCGAATCCCCCCTCCTTTCCAAGCGCTCCTTCTCGGTAGGTGAACCCATACCCGACAGCACCCGAGTGTTTCCGAATTCCAACGATTGAGCGAACAGGCGCTGCTGGGCGCTGTCCACCACCTCAACCGCCTGAAATCCTCTGATCTTCCCCTCACAAACGCAGAAGGGGCCCTGCTGCCATTGCAATACGGGCTTATTTTTACAATTGGCTTTACTACCGACAGGTACACACCTGCAAACTGAGCCACCGATTTACAAGGAACAAATGTGAATGTCACAAAAGGGGAAGAGGGGAACTCAACCCGTCTCGGGCAAAGGCACTGGGGCGGTTTTCAGCCGAGTACCCGCAGGCTCAGTACACAGTACCGTTATTTCCAAAATCCCACTTTGTTTCTAATCAGGCGCCATACATACGGTTCCCTTCAGACACAACAGATGTATGTGCTTTATTATACATCCACGTATTATTATTATTATTATTATTATTATTATTATTATTATTATTATTATTAGCGCGAACTACACTAAAAATGGGCTAATCTAGCCGAGCTGTCCTGCTGGTCGCAACATGAGACACGAAGAAGAGAAATTAGAAGGCAGGCAGGAGCACTCGGTTGTCTTGGGCTGGGTGAGATTAAAAAATGGCCGTATCTGATGACAGGTTCGGGTGCTGTTCTTCCACACACGCGAGTTCACACTCTCGTCTGCGCGCAGTATCTGTGTGCTTGTGTGCGATCCACACACACAATACACTCCAATTTGCTTTTTACAATGGAAGCGCTGCCACCACCCCCGTGGCCGTTTTAATAGCTGGCGTGGGGGGGAAATCCTGAAATCTCCACTAAACGGGGCTTTAAATGGCAGATCTCTGCCCCAGTTAAATCCTTATTATAGGCAGATTTTTTAAATGAATGTGAGGGAGCGAACTCTCCAAGCCCGTGTCAGGAGATCAGAAACTGGTGGGGGATGAGCGCTCAAACCGAGGCATTAAGCTTAAGAGAGAAGAGGTGCGCTCCTAATGGCTCTCCGGCGGGCTACAACCGCTCGCCTCCCGCTCCACACGCACGGCGATCACACGCGAAACAGAGGGGTTTCTCTGCTTTTTCAGCACCATTACCGTGAACAGCACACGCATTCGTTCACGGCCAAGCCTCACACATTGCCAATTTGTCTCCGAAGCCTGCGTTGCTAGGTGCGCTCGATCGGTGCTAAAACGATCATAATTCCTTGAAAAATATGGCGGACCTAAGTATTAGCCAACCGGACTAGGGTGAGAATGGACAGGGAGGGGAGGGGAGTCGGGGGGTGGGGGGCGATTGGTGGGGCGAAGAGAGGAAAAAAAATCACAGCCCGTGTTAAAGGCGAAAAGACATGAACACCAGCCCACTTACTTCATCTGCTTCACGATGGTGCTTTTGCCTGATTCCCCTGCCCCTGTTGGGATAAAAACACAGAATAAAAAGGGCCGTCAGTGTTGTGTTGTAAGGAGATAAACGAGATTAGAGCCAGACGAGCAGCCGCGCTAACGCCGGGACTGCTCTCTCTCGCCTGCAGGGTCTGAATGGGCGACAGCCACAGTGGCCACAGCCGGGCTTGTCAGCGTAGCACAGCCTTACCTAGCAGGAGTAATTTCACATCTTTTGCGGCAGTGATTCCGTCTTCTTTCAGGTTTTTCTCGATGGCTTTGCTCCTCTCCAAAGCGGCTCTTTCCTCGGCGCTCAGAGTACATCCCATGGTTAGGAAATCTCGGCTCTCTTTTTCTTTCCAAAAAGACGCAAGGTATCAAAGCAAGCAATCCTCCTTTTTTCTGTTTCTTCCCTGTACCCTCTCTTTCTCGCTCGCTCACTCGCTCGCTCTCTCTCTCGCTCGCTCGCTCGCTCGCTCTCCCTCCGTCTCTCGGCGACTAACGCATTAAAAACCGGATCGACTACAGTTGGCACGGGTCTGAACAAGGCTGGGCTCACTCTCTCTCTCTCGGGGGTCCGTCTGCTCGGTGCTCGGGCTGGGGGTCTCTAATGGGCGGCGGCGATGGCTGCGAGCGATCGCATCGTTCAGCTGTTCACAATGGAGAGGCAGGAGGGAGAGTGCGCCAGACTCAGTGCTCCCTGACAATTTCACTGACGTCAGAAACCGAGCGAGCATGCTCCGGCGAGCATCCTGATAGTACCGTTAACCGTCTCCATCCAGAGGGAAGGACCTCTCCCCTCCCTTTTGTCGCTGCTTCTCCTGTTTAAGGACGAGCTTTGAGGAGCGGGATCGCCCCCGAGTGACCCGCCTGTGCGAGTAGCCGTTGTCACTGTCGTTCTCTGAAAACGTCCCGAGTGTGCGGGGTGCAGACTGGAGCTTTGTGCTCTATTGTGTCCGGGAAGGTGTCTGTGCAGGCCGGGAGTATTCGCACCGAGGTGTGGTCTAGCGAAGCTCTCTGGAGGACTTCGATTATTGACACGGGATATTTAAAAGAGAGCCCCCTTCTGTAGAGCGTACCATGACGACTATTGAAATCATTTCTTTATTTTGTTTTATTTCGAGTTGTTTAGTCATGGGAGAATCGCAAAACCGCTTTGAGGCTTAGAAGAATTGTCAATTATAACTCCAGCTAATCTATTGCAGAGAGATCCCTTACTCTCGGCTGCGTTATTGTCGTGCTGTGCAGTCGTGCAAAGAGTAAACTGAAATTTACAAAAAAGTTGAGAAAGGGTGTTGCGCCCCCGAGTCCTGATCTACACGTAGGTCCATCGGTAATACCTTTCAAGAAACTCAGCCTTGTGGGAGTTTGCTCCCTCACTAAATCAAGTTTATTTTACAGAAATGGTCCGTAAAATTCTGCAGAAGTCTGTTACTAGTGAAATATAACTTGTTATCAAGGGATACGCGCACCTTTCGTCCAGTCATAAGAAAATGACTGTACTGTGTGGCATCACGTGAGTTTTGAAAGCTCAAAGCTCATCCGATCGCTCTGCTCGAGGACAGAAAGCGCACTTTGACCTCTCCTGGCTGCGACAACGAACACGCGCACTGGAGCTACAGGATTACTGCGGCTCCGGGATCAAGTGCTAGGCCTTAAATACAAAAGCGTTTGTTTCTGAATGAGAGGAGGTGGCACTTTTTTAAGACAGGCAATAAAATGTGACCATTCGTGTTGTAACTCTATGGTACGTGCAGTCTTGCCTACATACACGAACACAATTAACTGATGTAGAGCACCTTTGCATGCTGGTTAGAGCTCTGGACTGACTCCTTCTACAAGTGCTATTCGGTTCAGTAGAAACATTTTCCCAGAGAAAGTGATGGTTGTGCGCGCAAAGGAAGTGGCGTTAGTTAGCTTCGCCATCTTAACAGCCACCATTTACAGAAATGCAGGAAGACCTGCTTTGTTTTTCTCCGTTTCCAAAGCTCCCAAATCGAATCCCATTACATGGTCATGACACACGAGACTAGTCCCCAACCACAACAAATCCACAGACAAAAACTAATCAATATGTTTCTAAAACATGATCCGTTGTGTCCCAGAAACCTGGTGCTCCTCTCCTCATGCCCTGAAGACGACAGATTGATTAACTTAACACCTGTGGGAGAGTCTGCTATTGCTGACAGGACTTCTAGATACTATGCGTGCTTACTGCTCTGCATCAGAAGCACTACCTACAATATGTAAGACCAAAATGAACACAGCATGAGCTTAATTGAGTTTGATTTATTTTATAATTGCCTGTTAATGAAAACAGTCCCCACACAACTCTGAAAGCCATTATCTGTCTTGTCAAAGTTTGAAGTGAAACAAGAACTCTACTTCTGCTTCATAAAAGTGATATTGTAATAAACAGCACAAGGAATTTTCCTTTTAACTGCTCAAAAATATGCTGTTGGGAGATGTTTTGTGCTGCAGAATCTGCTCTGTAATACATGATCTTTCCTAAGCAGATTTGTTCAGTATGCATTACCAGACATATCAAAATCCAGGGAGCCCTTGTCTGTCCAGGCTGCGGGGGAAAACTGTATCCGTTTCTTCATTCATCTGGAGCAGTTTAATGACCTCCTATTGCTGGGAGTCTTTCTTTTTCAGGATGATACCAGATCGACACTGAAATGTTTTCTCCTTCGACCTGATTGCCTCCTGTGTGTCTGAGCTGCCGGATTTAAACTGAGAGAATTCTGTAGTCTATAGATCAGGGTGTTCAGGCTTTGTACATTTAAAATAGCATCTCTATAGTATTAGGACATGAAGCTGCAAGCACTGTAAATTGCATGAAAGCCGCAGCTCTTTCTCTAATAGTAACTTAAAAGTGCACCTAAAAACTGTTGAAAACTGTGTCCCAAGCCATGAATGTCTGTGCAGTGATTACCTGTGTAGTTTGAAGCTGTGTCATCATTCAGAACCCAGTAGATTCCACATGTGATCTATGTACTGTTGGTCTATGTACAAGAGAGAGGAGACCCAGGGAGTTATTAGCCCCAGTGTTACTTCTGTCTGCCCGAGTGTGTGATTGGTTAATTGATTAATTGCACAATCATGAAAAAAAGCCATTGTAATGCACATGCCAGTAGTAAGCCTGGTTTCAGACTCCTCCCTAGCTTTCCCAGAGGGCACGAATCCTGCCAGCTGGCCATCTTTCTTCCTCCTGCCCCTCCCAGGCTCTCACACGCGATCTGACCCCCTCGCAGGGCGGCCAGCCTGCCTGGGACCCGAGTGCCCTCGATTTCCTGTGGCCAACCAGTATGAAGCTCTCTAACCTTCACAGCAAGCAGCTAGCATTTGTTTAAACAAGCTTTGTCTACTTCTCTTTCTTATTATTATCATTGTTATTGTCACCATCATCGGTGTTGGAGAAGTAAGTTTGCTCATGTAGCACCTTGCAGTCACAAGGTGCCTGGGTAAGGTAATCATTTAATTTCTGGATATCACATATATCTGCATCTGGCATTTTTGTATAAGCTTGGGCTTACCTACAAGCCCAAGTGAAAAGATTCAGGATATCAGACTACGTGTGATCAAGACGTTAAGGAAGCAGAAGGAAGTGATGCACAGTAGTGGACAGAGCCGAGCCCAAGGCTGTCCCCTGTGCCCAGGCCTCACTCTTGTCATTGCACCACACTCCGAGAAGTTCCCCTGGCATCCCAGAGCAGGCTGGGTAATGGCACTGTGGTAGGCCAAGCAGAGACCCGTAATGAACCATATGGGTAAGGCTCTCTAAATGACAGCTGCCAAGCCTATACCACAGTGGCATGTGAAAATAAATGAAAACGCATGAAAAAATCAGAGAAAGGCCATTTATTTTTACTTTCAAGGAATGGTAGAATAAATTGAAAACAGGATGGACTTGATGTTTAAAGAGTCTGCAGTTAACAAGAAGCAAATAATGCACTGTTGTTATATCTAACAATACCTTAAAAATACCACTATACCTACTATTTCTAATAAAACTGATTAAACCTGTTCTTTGCACTTGAGCCACGTCTTGTTTTTAGTGGTAAAAGCTAGTCTCCAAGGCTGCCTGGTGCTTGGAGTATATTCAAGGGATGTCAGTGATGAGCAGGACAGACAGATTAGTGTAGCTCTGGTCACCAACAGCACAGGATCCCTCAGCTGCAACACCTTTCAGCTGTCTGGGGTTTCCATAGCCCATCTAAAGGCAAAGGATATAAAACCCCACCAGAGCTCTCAGCTACACAGCTAGTCTAATTATATCATTGGCTACAACACTGTAACACTTCGGCCCAGATCATTTGAGGTTATCTACACTTTAGTTAAGACTAACTTTAAAAGAGTGAACGTGTTGAGTGATCAGCTGTAAATGACCATAAGAAAAACCTTAAGTAAAAAAAAAAATAGAGTCTAAGACTCACTGCGTTCAAGAGTCCAGGCTTTGTAATCCAAAAAAAGCTAAAATTTAATTTGGTGAATTAAACTGATTTGCACGGCTTTCACTAAAGAAAACAATACCTGATATTAATGTGGTTCACAGAAAGGCATCACTAAATCCTAAATCCTCCTCATTCTCCGGGAAACAAGTCCCCGCCATTCATGAAAAAACAGTTTCCTTAGTAAGTCACCTAAATATAAATTGCCACGTTTGCAAATAAACTGCATTAATGCAGTTTTTGTCTGTGGACATCTCACACGGTTGCCACCTAAGAAGTCTCTGCAGTAAAACCGAGCTAGACTGACCAATCCAAGAGCTCTCTGGGATAGCTCTGTGCAGAAATGGGTCAACATTGAGACGAGGAATTCTCACACTTCACTGGTTTTCTGAAATTTCCTTATGTGTGTATATACTGTACTATATGTGTCTATATAGTGCATAGATGTGTGTGTGTGTGTGCCAGATTCAGACGTCTTTTACTGATTTTGTTTCTTGAAATATTCCAAAATAAATATCCTACACAATAATTTGAAAGCTCTTCTAAGGAAAAGCTTTCATAGTTTTATTTCCGGATGCTCCAGGGACCTCCGCGCGATGATTCAGAAACAGCAGCAATACTGTTCAAGTTTGTCACACTCCAGTGCAAGGAGCTTGAGTTTTCCAGCCTTCTGTCTCTGCACAGTGTGCATAGGATCCACAGAGACAGCAGGGCACAAATGCTCAGCACCAGTGTCTGCAGTCACATGTGGGAGACACCCAACGACCCTCAGTTCTCTGCACTCTCTATGGCGGTGAGACGGGAGAGAATTCGGGATGGCCTCAGAGAGATGAGTGAGTTTATTTTGTGCTTGTGAGACAGGTGACACCCCCCTGAGCCCTGCAGGGCTCAGGCCACCGCAGACAAGACTTAGGCTGTAGGTGAAGCACCACAGTTTAATGTTTAAGCAAAGCAGACAGATTCAGTTTCGAACCTTCCACAGATATTGGTTAAACTGCTCCACCCCTGGCTTCTTTCAAGCTTCTCCCTGCCCTCTTGCTTGTGTGTGTCAGTAGGAACTGAAGGAACTGGGGGGAGAAACACTCACTCACCACACATCCTCTCAGAGCAGGTCAAGCACACAGGATGCTAACACAGTCCATAGCAGGTTTTCCTGAGCAGAGTATATTCATTTACATTTATTCATTCACATCCTCTGCCACACTTTGACCCACTGTATCTGCGCGTGGTGATGTCTGCTGTGCTACTTGTCCAGCATGACTGCACTGACATGAAGGCAGAAAGCAGGGGCAGGAGCTCTCTTCTTCCCAGTCTCTCACAGGAAGGGCTGCTCTGAATGCACAGGGCACGCCCCTTCTGGGAAATGGCCGCTCAGTCCTCTTTATTTAAGCATGATGTCTCTGTAATTGACAGTCTGTCGGCAGAACACTGGCTAGGTAAGAACTGGGCTGAACTGGGCTGAGCTGGGCTGAGCTGGGCCAAGCTGGGCC